TAGGTGTGCAGTGATCTGAGGCAGCACACCCACCTCACCCAGCACCCTGGGAGTCTGTGCCTTGAAATTACTGGGCGAGTTAGTGTCAAGCTTGCAGGGGAAAGGCAGGTCACCTGCTGAGTCCCTGTCAGGTCTCCCCCTCTTTGCTCTGGCAATGGCAGAAGGGACCCGAGAGGGCCAACCCCCTTGGCCCTGCAGTGCTCCCTGTCCCATGCAGCAGGTTTTATGGACAAGTTGCAGATGGGTGCTCAGCACGTCGCAGGGACGGGCACAGTGCAGGGACAGTTATGCTGACAAGTAGGTGCTGAACTCAGCCCCCAGCCAGCTCTGGGAGGAGGGTTTGATATAAAAGTACTTCTCTGATGCCTTTTCTAAAGTGTTTTGTTTGTGACAAGTCAGCAACAGAAGCCAGTCCGTTTTGATGGGGGACAAGCTGCTTTCTGAATGGACAACTCTAGTCTGTTGTTTTTAAAGACCTATTTCAAGAACTTGAGGACATTGATTCTGCAATTAATAGCAGCTCTGGAGAAAGCACTGCCTTTCTTATACTCCTTCCTTTCCAAGTGCTTTCTGAGTTTTCCTATTTAGATAGTAAATTAAAAAGTAGAGGACAGAATATATTAAGAATCCTCCAATTTTCAGAGGGTGAGTTCCTTAAAGACTTTCAGTACTGGAGAGCATTAAAAAATGCACTGTGTTCTCATGATTAATATATGCATTATGGAGAATATATGGTTGGAAGAAAAATAGCAGCTATTATTAATCCTTCTGGAGAGCTTATATATATCTGGTAACACCATACATTAATTATTTGAATTGTAGCTGACATTTAATAATCTTCCTTATGCCTTGAAGGCATAATGAAAAGATTCGATGAGGAAATAGAAGCAGAGTTTAGTTTTAATAAGATAGTAAGTAGTTCCCTGGTAATCTTGCTGAAGCTCTTTTTTTTTTTTAATTTAATCAAGATACTAACCACATGTTGAGCATTTGCTATCACCTGCCTAGATAGATGCCATATCAATCCCCTTGAACTGCCTCCCTCCCTCCTTCAGGGTCCTGACATTTCCATCTCAGCACAGAGCACTTGCAGTTCCAAATTTCACGCTCTCCTGGTATGGGAGTCAGGACCTATGGTGGCCCTGGATCCAAGGTTAATCACTGAAACATGTTTTTCTTTGCATCCAGAAGAAGGCTTGGCTGGAAGGCTCCCGGGCCGTGGCACCGGAGCTGAGCAGGATGCAGACAGCAACAGTAGCCCCAGCATCAAAACCAGCGGGGTTTGTTTAAAGCTTGTGAAATGGAGCTGGCTGAAATGCATCTGGCACTGAGTGCTGCTGCACTTGAGTCCTTTCTCCTGTAGCTTTACCTCGTGTTGACCCTGCCAAGCCTTTTATCAGAAGTGCTACCCCCAGACAAGGTGCCACTTTTTCTTTTGATCCGATTACAGAAATGTATTTGGCTCCAGTGCCTGCTAAGCTCCTTCAGGGCTCTTGAAGCAGTTCTTTAGCTTTGCTGTCAGTTGTCCTTTCCTCCTCCTCCCCCTGGCGTCCAGTGAAGAAAATGCTCAGGTCTCTCAGGCACCCTTGCTTTTAGCCTAACGTTTGGGTTCAGGGAGGCTTTGCATGGAGCATCCCTGTGACACTAAGGCTGGTGCTCAGAGCTGTCAAAAGGATTTGTCAGAAGCGATTACTAATCAGGAGGAGAAATATCAGAAAGAGATGTTTAAAATACAGGAAAAGCTCTGCCTGCTCCAAACTGCTGCTGCACTCCCAACAATGAGGTTTAATTGTTAAAATCCAAATCTACAGCTGCTGAGAGCAGCTTGTAGGATGTTTCCTGAGATGTGCATTCAGCTGAAGTGCTGAGCTGGGGGAGCAGGTGAGTCCTGCACTTGTCTTTGAGTGAGGAGCAGAAGGATGAGTTCAGGAAGGATGAAAATGAAATGCCCTCTCTGTGAGCTTGGCTGCTCACGTGTTACCTGAAAATCATTTGCAGGACTCACACAAGATTGAGGCAGGGGGATAAATTCATTACAAGAGGAACAATGTCAGGTCTTTCAGACTTTACTTTCAAGAGGCCCCACAGACAGCTTGTCCTATCTATGTTCAGGTTTAATTTTTTATTGTCCCCTTTCTCCTCTCCTGTCTAGGGCTTAAGTGTATTATTGCTGTTGTTTTCCTGTTTCACCTATACATTGTACTGGATAAAACTTGCTGAGTATTTCTCCTGGTTTGGACTTCAACACTTGAGGGGTTCAGGAAGGATGAGCTCCAAGCAGAGGAAGGGTGCAGAGTTGCTCATTTTGCTGTACAGGAAACCAGGTTGGAAGAGCTGCTTTGGCTTAGGAAAATGAAAGGATCATAGTGTCATAGAATGGTTTGCAATAGAAATGAACTTAAAGATCATCTAGTTCCCAGCCTCCTGCATGGGCAGGGACACCTTCCTCTAGACCAGGTTGCTCCAAGCCCCATGCTGTCTGTCCTTGAACACTTCCAGGGATGGAGCAGCCACAGCTTCCCTTGGCAACCTGAGCCAGTGTCTCATCACCCTCACAGTGAAGAATTTCTTCCTCATATAGAGAGGGCAAAATTATTGCATCTAACTATCAGGCATGAGAGACAGGAGAGACTTCAATTAAAAAGAGATTTTAACCAAAGAACAAGTGGGTGTTGTTTGGCCATGAGTAACTTATAATGTAAAGAAGCAGCAAGTGCCAACCCAAGTGCCTGTAAATCGAATTGGGGAAAGCATGAAGTCTTGGCTCCCTGAGGATGAAGTTCAGCACATTTGAAGGGGACATGACATGGTGCCTGTGGCAGCAGAGGAGACACTTGATAACCCAGCAGGTCCATTAGAGGGCTGGGTACTTGAAAGTATAACAGCACTAGAGGTTACAAAATGCAGAATTAAGCATGTGTTTTTGTCCCTGCACTGCTCACTGTGGTTATGTATTTCAGTTATTTTAAAGAACTATTGTAAATAAGGCCACTAAAGGCACACCTTTATTTTGGAAGGTTCTTTTAACCTTGTACCTACCAAGTACATCAAGTACTTTTCTCAAAAAAAAAAAAAAGCAAAGAAGGTAATAATATTTGCCACTTGAAATCCATTTGTCATTGAAGTCTTGTCTATGCACAGTAATCAACTGAAATAAGTAATTCTCAAATACCTCTCCATTCTGCACAGGTTCTATTCATAATATAAGTAACATTTAGTTGGAATAATTTCCCTGCTTCCCAAGTAAGTTTTATTCCAGGGAGTTGTGTCTATGCTGGGACAGGTAGGGGGCTGTTTCAGGACAAGTTATTCTGCAAAACCATTGTGCTTTTTTGGGGGGAAGGGGGTCATTAAGATCTAACATTATTTTCAGTGATAACATTTCTGTGTCTTTTGATGTATTTGGGAATTCCCTCAGATAAAAGACCATTATTTTATAATTCATTTCTCCCCCCCCTTTTTTTTTTCCTTAGTTCAAACTTCAGGTCATCCAAAAATGCTGTGATTGGTTTGTGTTCAGTGAAAAGATTCAAGCAGAGCAGTTTTCATGCAGGTTTAAATGGGCAGTTTCCCTTCAAAGCTTGCATGGAGTGCTCACCAGCATCTTTATTCACTGAAAGGTCGAAAATAGCAGAAACCTGGAGCCTGATCTGCGTAATCCCCTCAAAGATGTGTTCCCACTTTGCTCCAGATCAAAGTGAAAGCGTGCAGGTGAAATGTCACTCACATGTCAGGTGCAAATCAGTGGAGCTAGTAGGAGCTTTCCCTGCTGCCAAATTCACATTACACTGGGGAATGGAAATGAGGCTTTTGAGAAGTTCGTGAGATACAGGCTGGGGTTTCCAAACTAGATGTAT